CACAAGTCACGCCCCCGCGTCCCACCGCCAGCCGTGTCGTGGGCCAGGCGTTGCATTTCAGAACCCCTCGCCGTTTTTGAGGTTTGGAGTTTCCAACAGCCACACTGATGGAGGGTGGTTGTTTTTCCGAAAAGGGTTTTCGTTTCGGCACCGCGCACATACGCACGGAAGTCCAACCACACACAGATGGAGGACGAAGCGTTTTCAAAATGAATTGCTCGCCTAGGCATCCCGCACAATCGTCTGTACAAAAGACAGCAGCTACACGGCTAGAGGACAGTTCTTTTACAAACAGGGGTGTCGTTTTCAGCGCCGCTCCCAGTCGTCATAACCAACCAAACGGTTACACGGATGGAGGGTGAATCGTTGTCAGCATGGGAGTCTCGTGTTGGCGCCGCGCGCTCGTCTTCAAACATCCAAACGTTTACATGGATGACGTACGGCTCCCTCTAAAAATGGAGCGCTCGCCTGAGACACCCTCACCACGTACTACCACGGTTATGTTTTTCGTGCAACAGCTTCACGATAAAGGACGTTTCCTTTTCAAGGGGGGCGCTCACTTTCATTCCTTATACGTGCTGGCAAATGGATTTAACGTGTGCCACAGTTACACAAATAGAGAGAGCAGTTCTTTCTCCAAGTAGGTATTGTGTGACCCCACTTGGTCACTTGGTCACATGTACCAATACCTCGAAGGATGCAGGGCAGTTTCGTTCGAAATGGAACTCCCACCTGAGTTTCAGGCCCATACGGGTGTTCGTTTTTTTTACGAGAGCGTTTCGCGCTGTGCAAAAGGACAGCTTGCATGGGACCCATGAGCAGCTAAGTGGGGACGGGAGCCGTGTGTTGCAACGTCGGTGTAGTATGACTTTTCTTCTCCTCCTCCTCATCCTACTCCTCCTCCTCCTCCTCCTCCTCCTCCTCCTCCTCCTCCTCTTCATCCTCCTCCTCCTCCTCCTCCTCCTCCTCCTCCTCCTCCTCCTCCTCCTCCTCCTCCTCCTCCTCCTCCTCCTCTTCCTCTTCCTCGTCCTTCTTCCCCCCGTTCTCCTGCCCTTCGTCTGCGTCGCAGGCCGTTGGCGTTTCGGATGGCGCCCCTTTGCCAAAAGCGTCTCTCATTCGGCGCGAGTGGGTTCTCCCCGCCCAGATTGGTGATTCTGGCCCAAGGTGTCCCCAACCTTTCGCGCTATATTATAACACTGGGCCACTACGGGTATCATGAGGAGCGCCTTGCAGCTGTCTAAGCATCCTTGGAGAAGTTGGGGCCACCTTAAGCCAGGATCACCTCGGGCAACGCCCGAACAAAGGCTGGGTCGCCTCACTGCCTTCGAGGAGCTGAGGGAGAGGGATGTCCTTGTTGACAACCTTGGGCTGAAGGCAGACCTGAAGAGGGGCGTCGTTTTCTTTAGCCACGTGTGGCTTGGCCGCAGCCACCCGGACCCGCAGAACGTGAAGTACGACCTGATGTGCGAGGTCGTTTCTTGCTCTGGCAAAGCCCGGCTCCCACGAGCGGGGCCTACGGCGGGAGGGAGGGGCACGAGGAGCCGTGGGCTGGGCTGGCGAACGCGGGAAGGCAACCGGCAGCCCTCTCCCTCCGCCTCCCGCCCTCCTCCCCCGCCACCTCCCGCCCCACCACCACCCGACCTCTTCGTCCTCCCCCTCCACCTCCCGCCCTCCTCCTCTTCCCGCGTAGGCCACTCCAGCCAGGGACAGCCCGGGTCTGGACACAAGCAGCGAGATGTGGGCCAGCAGAAGCCCCCGCCTGCATCAGTGGTGTCAGCGGCTACGGTGGCGGCGCCAGGCAGGCTGACACACGCTATCATCGAACGAGGGGCCGATATGCTTGGCCCGTGCGCTGTTCACGCACGTGTACACGCGGATGGTGGAGCCAAGGCGGCAACGGGCGAATCGCAAGAAGCGAAACACACGAAAAGGAAAGGCACGACACACACACACACACACCAACCGCTGCAAGCAGAGAAACGGGAATCTACATAGCACAGCTTTGTCAGCGGGCGGCGGAAGGATCCCATGACAGTGGGAGCTTGGGCCACGGTGCACCCGAATCGCGCCCATGCAAGAGGGAGGGATCAGGAACGGGGCGGCCGCGAGAGGATGAGGATGAGGAGAATGAGAAGGACAAGGAGGAGGAGAAGGAGGAGGAGGAGCAGCAGCAGCAGGAGGCGGCGGCGGCGCGCTGCGCGTGGGCCCTGGGAAGTTTGGGCTCAGACTGATCGAGCGTGGCGGATCTGATGCCGGGCCCAGGGAGGCGGTCCCGACCAGGCGTGCTTGGCAGAGCGCGCCAAGGAGAGCGGCGAGCGTAGCCGAAGCACCGAGCGCACTTCACGCCCAGCCCGCTTGCCCAGGTCGAAGCTCAGGTCCTGCAGCAGGCCCTGGGCCCTCCGCTCGAGGGCCCTGCCGGGGGGCCTGGCCGAAGTGCTGTTTGCACTGCTTGCCCCAGAGGTGCTTGATGATCATAGTCGCCAGTTCCGCGTGCCCTGGACACACGCGAATGATCAGCTTCATCTGGTCGGAGATGCTCTGCACTTCTGCAGCACGGCACGGCCTCTTTTACCAGCCTCGAACGTATCCCTATCCCTAAGATTGGCACGCCAAAAGGCGATGACAATCTTAGGGATTCGCCCTCAAAAAATAAGGGAATCCCTAATATTGGCGTCGTGATGAGGTGCCCAGCATAGGGATAGGGATATGTTCCAGGCTGGTAACTCTTGGACCCCTTCCCTGGCCGGGCGGCCCCTCGGGTCCGAGGGCGGCGGGCGTGCAGCCAGGAAATGCTTGATCTTCTCGGGGTCGGCCACGCCGATGTGCCCGGACGCACTTGCTTCGATCAGAGCGATGTGAACGCCCATAGGTTCGGGCCGCCCGCGTCGTGGCCGATCTTGCCCTCCTTCGTGCGGTCCGCGTGGACGCTGCACTCCTTCCTGAAGCGCCCTGCGCCGCCGTGCTGTCCGTCGCCACCGTGAGGCACGTGCACGCAGCGGCCGTGAGCTCACTGCTTCGTCTGAAGGCGCATCTCCCCGAGGATGGACGACAGATCACGGGTCTTGTCATCCTCATCTTCCGTGTTTCTTCCGCGGAGGTTCGTCTCCACCTCCATTGGGGAAGGATCTTGTGCTTGCTCTGCCGTGCCACTGGTCTGGGAATCGGGGAAGCCCCCCAAGATCAACATGGAATGTGTCAGACAAGCGCGAAGCCACATGCCACAGCCATGGAGTTTTGAACTCGATCTGAGTGTCGCAAGCGCGGCCCTAATTCAAAGGAGGAGCGATGACGCCATGACAGAGGGCACTTCCACAGCCTCGGCACAGGCCAACCTCCGCAGCCGGCCTCAGCACGAGCCACTCGCGAAATCACATCCGCCAGGGATACCGAGCATTTCCATTGAATGTTGCACTCTTTATTCGCATCGGCTGTCTGTCTGCCGCCGCTTCGTGTCATCGTATAGTTCACCGTGCTTCGCAGTCACAAAAATTAGCCTGGCGAAGGACCCAACCATATGCAACTGTGAATACCGCAAGTGTGAATATCGTTTTCGGCGGCGCTACCTCTGGGTAGTGGAGACGCATGCGAACACCCCCACTGGGGCCTTCGGTGGAGCTCCCTATGGGGCTACGAAACGCTGCCCTGGGTGGGGGAACCGCATGCAGGCAGCCCCACTGGGGCCTTCGGTGGAGCTCCCTGTGGGGCCACGAAACGCTGCCCTTGGTGGGGGAACCGCATGCGGGCACCCCCACTGGGGCCTACGGTGGAGCTCCCTCTGGGGCTACGAAACGCTGCCCTGGGTGGGGGAACCGCATGAGGGCAGCCCCACTGGGGCCTTCGGTGGAGCTCCCTATGGGGCTACGAAACGCTGCCCTGGGTGGGGGAACCGCATGTGGACACCCCCACTGGGGCCTTCGGTGGAGCTCCCTATGGGGCCACGAAACGCTGCCCTGGGTGGGGGAACCGCATGTGGACACCCCCACTGGGGCCTTCGGTGGAGCTCCCTATGGGGCCACGAAACGCTGCCCTGGGTGGGGGAACCGCATGCGAACACCCCCACTGGGGCCTTCGGTGGAGCTCCCTATGGGGCACGAAACGCTGCCCTGGGTGGGGGAACCGCATGCGAACACCCCCACTGGGGCCTTCGGTGGAGCTCCCTATGGGGCTACGAAACGCTGCCCTGGGTGGGGGAACCGCATGCGAACACCCCCACTGGGGCCTTCGGTGGAGCTCCCTATGGGGCCACGAAACGCTGCCCTGGGTGGGGGAACCGCATGCGAACACCCCCACTGGGGCCTTCGGTGGAGCTCCCTATGGGGCTACGAAACGCTGCCCTGGGTGGGGGAACCGCATGCGGACACCCCCACTGGGGCCTTCGGTGGAGCTCCCTATGGGGCCACGAAACGCTGCCCTGGGTGGGGGAACCGCATGTGGACACCCCCACTGGGGCCTTCGGTGGAGCTCCCTATGGGGCCACGAAACGCTGCCCTGGGTGAGGGAACCGCATGTGGACACCCCCACTGGGGCCTTCGGTGGAGCTCCCTATGGGGCCACGAAACGCTGCCCTGGGTGGGGGAACCGCATGTGGACACCCCCACTGGGGCCTTCGGTGGAGCTCCCTATGGGGCTACGAAACGCTGCCCTGGGTGGGGGAACCGCATGTGGACACCCCCACTGGGGCCTTCGGTGGAGCTCCCTCTGGGGCTACGAAACGCTGCCCTGGGTGGGGGAACCGCATGTGGACACCCCCACTGGGGCCTTCGGTGGAGTTCCCTATGGGGCTACGAAACGTGTGAGAGGTGTGCCGAGAGCAGAGGCAAGGAGGGGGAGGAGGAAGGAGGAGGGGAACGCGGGGCACCGTCTCTTCAAAACGAGGACCCAACACCACAGGATGGTTGGGAAAAAGGATTCTCTGGGTTTCTTAATAAGCGTGGGGGGGTACCCCCGACGGGGGTCAACCTCGCCTCGTCGTCGCGCCGCGACGGGGGTCGGAGCGCCTTCGGCGCGCGGTGGCCGCCCGCGACGGGGATCGATGTGGGGCGGGGCTGTCGACGGGGGTGACGCCCCCCCGACGCTGAATAAGAAATTCGGAGTACCAAGTATTTGCGAGGAGATGTGGAAGGCAATGCCGTGCGGCAAAATGTCTCTGGAGGCAACCAGTGCCAGAGGTTCGTGAGGGCGGTGGGCGCTTTTTGTTGGAGGCATCTCTGCGTCGCCGCGCGCCCTCCGGCAGGGCGCAGGGTACAGTCGGGGGAAACGCGAGTCGAGACGAAGGGTCCTCCTCCTCCTCCTCCTCCTCCTGCTCCTCCTCCTCCTCCTCCTCCTCCTCCTCCTCCTCCTCCTCCTCCTTCTCCTCGGGGGGAGCGCGAGTCGAGACGAAGGGTCCTCCTCCTCCTCCTCCTCCTCCTCCTCCTCCTCCTCCTCCTCCTCCTCCTCCTCCTCCTTCTCCTCCTCCTCCCTCTGGGGCAGGGCTCGGCGGAGCCGGGCCGGCCTCGGCAGCGCCGCGGGCCGAGCCCGAGGGTCAGCTGCTGGCCGGCGAAGCGTCCGAGCTTCAAGGGCACCCGCGCAGCGAAAGCAAATTAGCCTGGCGAAGGACCCAACCATATGCAGTTGTGAGTAATGCTGGTGTGAGTACCGTCTTCGGTGGATCTCCCTATGGGGCCACGAACCGTTTGAGGGGTGTGCCGAAATGGGTGTGGGGGCGGCATGCGAACGTTGCCACTGGGGCCTTCGGTGGAGCTCCTTATGGGGCCACGAAACGTGTGAGGGGTGTGCCGAAATGGTGTGGGGGCGGCATGCGAACGCAGCCACTGGGGCCTTCGGTGGAGCTCCCTATGGGGCCACGAAACGTGTGAGGGGTGTGCCGGTGTGGGGGCGGCATGCGAACGCAGCCACTGGGGCCTTCGGTGGAGCTCCCTATGGTGCCACGAAACGTGTGAGGGGTGTGCCGAAATGGGTGTGGGGGCGCATGCGAACCCAGTCACTGGGGCCTTCAGTGGAAATCCCCATGGGGCCACGAAACGTGTGAGGGATGTGCCGAAATGGGTGTTGGGGAGGCATACGAACCAGGCCACTGGGGCCTTCGGTGGAGCTCCCTATGGGGCCACGAAACGTGTGAGGGGTGTGCCGAAATGGGTGGTGGGGAGGCATGCGAACGTTGCCACTGGGGCCTTCGGTGGAGCTCCCTATGGGGCCACGAAACGTGTGACTGGGGCCTTCGGTGCTCCCGCCACGAATGTGGTGGTGGGGAGGCATGCGGACCCTGCCACTGGGGCCTTCGGTGGAGCTCCCTATGGGGCCACGAAACGTGTGAGGGGTGTGCCGAAATGGGTGGTGGGGAGGCATGCGGACCCTGCCACTGGGGCCTTCGGTGGAGCTCCCTATGGGGCCACGAAACGTGTGAGGGGTGTGCCGAAATGGGTGGTGGGGGGGCATGCGAACCCTGCCACTGGGGCCTTCGGTGGAGCTCCCTATGGGGCCACGAAACGTGTGAGGGGTGTGCCGAAATGGGTGGTGCGGAGGCATGCGGACCCCACCGACTCCCTAAGATCTGCACACCTACGTGGGGATCAGCATCGGGGGTAACCCAGATAACATTGTATGGGGCTATATTTGTTGCTGGGGCTGTTCATCGGTTATACTTCGCGCACGTCTTTTGGATGCGGCTCGCCCGTGTCCGAGTTTCTGCCCGCACTTCTGTACGAATATCGTGTTCTGACTGGGCAAGCAGCCCAGCTCTTGTTCCGGATTTTGACCCAAAGGGTTGCAGGTAGCATCGTTGCAGGATGTTCAGCAGTGGGGATCAATGAGAAGGTTGTCGTAGCAGGCGTCAGGACCGTGTTCGGACGATAAGCCAGGATGAAGTTGTTTCTTTTCTCCCTTGCGTTTCCTCTTCCTTCCTATTCCTCTCCTTTGCCCCTCCCTCCCCTCCTTCAAAAAAAATGACTTCTTCCCTCGCGATTTCAACGCATGTCGGTGTACCGTGGGGCAGTGCGTTCGGCGTTGTTTGTGCACCGATCCCGACCTAAGGTGGTCTGTTGACGAGCTCGCGTGCAGAACTTCCCCCCTTCCCTGCCAAGGACCAATACCCTCTCCCCACTTCCAGAGGTGTGTGCCCAGGAGCCCGTGCTTGCAGGATTCGCGGATGGACACAGTTTCTCCCCCGTGGGCGCGTGTGGTCCGAGGTCGAGCCCAAAGGAGCCCGCTCTTCCGCATGGACGCTCAAGGAAGTGCCGATGGTCCTTCGATGCATGTCGAGCCCCGAGTGGCCTAGAAGTGCAGGAAAAGGAACGGGTCTCAGGCTGTCGCCTGCCGCCGCTCTGGATCCCAAATATCGCCTTGGAGAACACATACACACACCCACACACACACACACGAACACGCACACGTACACGCACACGCACGCGCGCACACGCACACGAGCGTACACACACACACACACACACACTGCACGCACGCACGCACGCACGCACGCACGCACGCACGCACGCACGCACGCACGCACGCACGCACGCACGCACGCACGCACGCACACTCACACACACACACACACACACACACACACACACACACACACACACACACACACACACACACAACACACACAACACAACACAGCACAGCACAGCACAGCACAGCACAGCACAGCACAACACAGCACAATACACACGCGCGCGGCTATTGTTGTTTTAACGTGGGCATCCCTGTGCACACCCAGTTCTGTATCAAAATAGCGCATGGAGGAACGCCGATCGCATACGGCACACGCTCGTGCAGACGCTTGCCATATGCGTCGCGATGCTTGGAAGACCCCCAGCCAGACTCTCCCTGAGGACATCCCACGAGAAGCGGCAGCAACAGGGGGACAGAGAGCAACTGCAGCAGCAGCAGCAGCAGCGGCACCGTGCCCAGCCATCCTCCCTCACGCAACGACGGCGGGCGGCAGCGAGGTCTTGGAGAGGGCGCAGGCGGGCCTGCTCGACTTCCAGATGGGTTTCGAAGAGGAACTGACGGCCGGCTGGAGCAGCCTGCGTGCGAAGGACGTGCAGGAGCCACGCTGTTCTGACCCCACCCTAGACACGAGCGAGGTGCAGCAGGATTTGGAGGGATGGAGGGAGCAGGACGGAGGAACAGGAGGGAAAGAGGAGAAGGAGGAGGAGGAGGAGGAGACGGAGACGGAGGAGGAGGAGGAGGAGGAGGAGGACGAGGGATCAGGGGGCAGGAAGCGCGAGGGGAGGAGGGAGGAGGGGACGACAACGACGACGACGACGACGACGACCACGACGACCACGACGACCACGACGACCACGACGACGACGACGACGACGACGACGACGACAACGATGGCGACGACGACGACGACGACGAGGACGACGACGAAGGCGATGAGAACGATAAGGAGGAGGATGAGGGCAACGATGAGGCCGACGATGAGGGGAACGAGGGCGTGGGGAGGATGAATAAGGGAGGAGGGAGGGCAAGGAGGGAGGAGGGAAGAGAAAGGCGGGCAGGGGGAGGGTGGAGAAGGGGGGAGGGAGGAAAGGAGGGGAAGAGGATGAGGAGGAGGGAGCAGGGGAAGAAAAACGGGGGAGGGAGGAGAAGGAGGAGGAGGAGCAGGAGGAGGGGGAAGAGTATCAGGACGACGAGGACTATGAGGACGACAAGGAGGAGGAGGAGGAGGAGGAGGAGGGCAAACCATCGAGGAGGGAAGGAGGATGGCGGAGGGAGGAGGCGGTAGGCGGGAGGGGGCGGGAAAGGAGGCGGCGGTGGTGCCGGAGGTCCCCAGCGGCCTGGGCGGTCCTTGGAGGTCCCTGGTGGCCTCCAGAGGCCCCCGCATGCCCGACGGGGCCGAAGGGGCCGAGAGGACCCGGAGCGTCGGCCCGGACGACCTTCGAGCCAGCGAAGCGCGAGCATCGGCGGGGGCCGCGGGGAGGCAGGCGAGAGAGGCGGAGGCCCCGGCCGGGAGGCGAGCGTCCTGGCCCGCTGCCCGTGCTCGTTGCAATGGCGGCTCCCTGGGCCGGAGGAGGAGGAGGGAGAAGGAGCTAAGGAACAGGAAGGGGGAGAGGCGGACGGGAGGGGGGCCGTAAGAATGAGGAGGCGGTCCTCCGCATCCTCATCATCGTCCTACTCTGCCGCCTCCTCCTCCTCCTCCTCCTCCTCCTCCTCCTCCTCCTCCTCCTCCTCCAACTCCTTCATCTCACGACTCATGATCCTCTTTCCCCCTCACTCTCCCCCCGACAACGACGAGACGACGATGACGAAGAAGAAGAAGAAGACGACGACGAAGAAGAGGGGGATGGGAGAAGAAAGAGTCGCTCAGCGAGGAGGAGCTCCTCCTCCTCCTCCTCCTCATCATCATCATCGTCAGCGTCATCGTCCTCATCCTCATCCTCGTCCTCGTCCTCCTCGTCGTCGCCCTCTTCTAATGTTCTTTCATGTTCCTCCCCCCTCTCCGAATCGAATCGATTGCAGCGACGACTCGTTTGCAAGCATGTGCCAGCGGTGTGATTTGTTCACCTCTAGTGCTCGATTTACTTAGTTGGCCCAGATTTGCGTTTCTTTTCTTCGGCCACACAAAGCGCGAGAATTGGAGACGGCTCGGCAATGGACTCTATCCAAAGAGATCTGAAGTTACCGTCGGTTTGTCGACTTCTTGCCCAATCTGGTCGGTGTCATTGACCGTGGATGCCAAAAAAAAATGCTTCTCCTCCTCATCCTCATCCTCCTTATCCTCTCTTTTCTCCTCCTCCTCCTCCTCCTCCTCCTCATCATCATCATCATCATCATCCTTCGCCTCCTCATCCTCCTCGTCCTCCTCTTCATCCTCATCCTCCTCCCTCTCCCCGACGACGACTACGACGACGAGACCCAGCGCAGGAGATGCTCCGCGAGGGCTACGTCTGGCTCGACTACCAGAGCGTTCCGCAGCAGGACCCGAGCGCGCAGCAGGCGCGCTCCCCCCGCCGCCGCCGTCACCGTCGTCATCGTCGTGGCCGTCTCGGTCGCCGGTGCCGTCGCGGTCGTCGTCTTCACGATCCTCCCTCCTCTTCCGCCTTCTCCCCCTCCTCCGTCGCATGGCATTTCTCATCCTGGTACCTTTCTCCTGATCCTCATCATCGTCGCTACATTCCTTATCATAATTGTCTTTGTCATTATCATCATGCTCATCATCATCATCATCATCATCATCATCATCATCATCATCATCATCATCATCATCATCAGTATAACCATCATCATGATCAGCATCATCATCATCATCATCGTCATCGTCGTCGTTATCATCATCTGCATCATCATTACCGTCATCAGCATCATCGTGATCATCATCGTCATCATCAGCAGCAGCATCATCATCGTCATCATCATTATCCAAATCGTCATCATCATCATCACCACCACCATCACCATCCTCAGCAGAAGCAGCACAATTAACATTACCGTAGTCATCATCACCACTAGAATCACCATGATTCATCACCGTTGTCATCACCATCATCACCATCATTGTCATCGTCAGCATCAGCATCTGCATCAACAACAACATCGTCATCCTCATCATCCTCGGCATCAACATCATCAGCAACAGCATCAGCACCATCACTAACATCATCACCACCACCGTCATTGTCATCATGATCATCATCACTAGTGTCATCATCAACATCATCGTCATCATCACCATCATCATCGTCGTCATCATCTCCGTCATCTTGATCATCGACATCGTCATCTCCATCATCAACAGCAGCATCAGCAGCAGCACCACCATCACCATCACCAACATCATCGTCACCATCATCACCATCAACACCACCACCATCATCATCAACATCGTCATCATCGTCATCATCACCATCAGCATCAACATCGTCATCAGTAGCAGCACCATCACCATCACCAACATCGTCATCATCATCACCACCACCATCGTCACCAACGTCATCATCACCATTGCACCATCATCATCACCGTCATCGTCATCGTCATCATCATTGTCATTGCCGTCACCATCATCCTCAAATTGAACATCGACATCCTTATCATCATCCTTATCATCAGCAGCAGCATCAGCGCACCCGAGCGCGCAGCAGGCGCGCTCCCCCCGCCGCCGCCGTCACCGTCGTCATCGTCGTCGCCGGCACGGTCGCCAGCGCCGTCGCGGTCGTCCTTTTTCTCCTCTTCCGCCTTTTCCCCCTCCTCCGTCTCATGGCATTTCTCATCCTGGTACCTTTCTCCTTATCCTCATCATCGTCGCTACATTCCTTATCATAATTTTCCTTGCCATTATCATCATCATCATCATCATCATCATCATCATCATGCTCATTATCATCATCGTCATCATCATCATCATCATCATCATCATCAGCAGTATCAGGATCATCATCGTCATCGTCATCATCATCATTGTCATCATCGTCATCACCACCACCACCATCATCAGCACAAGCAGCACAATCACCATCACCGTAGTCATCACCTCCACCATCATCACCATGATTCATCACCGTTGCCACCATCATCACTATCATTATCATCATCAGCAGCAGCACCATCACCATCACCAACATTATCATCATCACCACTATCATCATCACCACTACCATCATCAGCATGGCTCATCATCATTGTCAACATCATCACCATCGTCATAGAATCATGATCATCAGCAGCAGCATCAACAACCTCAGCGTCATCATCATCGGCATCATTATCATCATCATCATCATCATCATCATCATCATCGTCATCGTCATCATCGTCATCGGTTTCATCATCAACAACGTTTTCATCGACATCGTCATCCGCACCATCATCATCATCATCATCATCATCATCATCATCATCAGCAGCAGCAGCAGCAGCGGCACCACCACCACCACCATCACCATCACCCACATCCTCATCATCACTACCACCAGCATCATCACCACAATCGTCATCATCACCATTGTCACCATCATCACCACCATCGTCATAGTCATCATCATGGTCATCTTTGTCATCATCATCAGCAGCAGCATCAGCAGCACCATCAGCATCATCGTCAGCATCACCGTCGTCAGCATCACCATTCGCGCCCTCCTCCTTGCGGCGACCGCCGCCAGCCGCCGCCCCCCGCGGGCGCCGCCAGCCGCCACCCCAGCGGCGCGGGGACAGGCGTACATCGACGGCCTCCTGCTGTACGTGCGCCACTGCACCCTGTTCGTGGCTCTCGCGCCGCCGGCGCTGCACCAGGAGCCACCGGTCGGGAGCCTTGAGACGGGGGTCAGTGCAACGGGGGGTCAGTCAGGGCGCCGGAGCTTGCAGGCTCCAGCAGATCCAGGAGAGCATCGACCCAGGCTGACGCGCAGGATCCTGCAGGATCTCGCAGGATCCTGAACCGGGGTCCCTTCAGATCCCGGCGTTGCAATTTTTTCAAAGCGGGCGTGTCCGCGAGGCTTCGGGCCCTGGGGTCCACACAGATCAATCGGGCTCGAGAGGCGAGGCAGGAAGATGGGATCTGGGGCTCTGGGACTGATGTCTTGCCACGTTGCAACGTTTTGCAACGTCAGAGCTGAGGCTCGGAGGCTGCCAAGGGGTGGCCCTAGCCCAGGGCACCTCCCCGAGAGGTCCTCTAGATCCCGACGGACACGACTCCGAGGCGCCGTACTTGCGCTGCACTCCGGCAGCGTAAGCCTTTAGAAGCCACCGCGAGCCTGCGGGCGAACTGTCCCTGACCCAGGTTTCGGGATGGACCCCTGGGGCACCTCCCTAGCTCTTCGTGCCGCTCTGGACCCAGACATGCGACGCCCTGATGTTGTTCCATACGCGGTCCCCGGAAGTCACAACTCTTTCCCCGGGGCTGGTGTTTCATCCTGAGTCGTTGCTGTTGACGGTCCCGGGGCCCTCCCCCAGAAGCCGAAAGCGGCGAAAGATGTCCCGTCCTGAATTTTGTTACGATGCCAGCATGTCTGGGGAGCGTCCCTGGGGCGTAGTCGAGAGGAGTGCCCTGGAGGCCGCCCGGGCCACCCTGGAGAAGCCGGGAATCGCCCCGGGACAGAGCCGCCTGTGCCAACATCTGGCCAAGCGGGGGAGGCCGAGACCGCCGAGGTCCTCCGTTGTCATCGAGGTCGCCGCCGTTTTCATCGAGGAGGGAGGAGGAGGAGGAGGAGGGGGAGGAGGAGGAGGAGGAGGAGGAGGGAGGGGAGGAGGAGAGGAGGCAGGAGGAGGAGGAGGAGGAGGAGGGGAGAGGAGGAGGAGGAGGAGGAGGAGGAGGAGGAGGAGGAGGGTGGGTGAGGAGGATGAGGAGGAGGAGGCAGGAGGAGGAGGAGGAGGAGGAGGCAGGAGGAGGAAGGAGGAGGAGGAGAGGGAGCGAGGGAGGCAGGAGGAGGAGGAGGAGGAGGAGGAGGAGGCAGGAGGAGGAGGGGAAGGGGAGGATGGAGGGAGGAGGAGGAGGAGGAGGAGGAGGAGGAGGAGGAGGAGGAGGAGGGGGAGCATGAGAACGCAGAGATCCGACGCTCCGAAAAAAGGCGGAGCGGCAGGTTTTTGGCCGTTTTCAGCTTTCGGGGGCCCTCGCCGGGTCCCGGGGCCGCGAGAAACCGATTCGGAACGAAAAAACGGCCCCAGCGAAGTGGTCCAGACCTCTCGGGCCTACGCATCGGAAAAGTTGGAGCGGCCGGATGTCTGGGGAGGAGAAGGGGGGCGGAGGGGGGCGGAGGGAGGGCAGAGAGGGGGAGGGAGAAGGGATGGATGGAGGATGACGCGACGCGGATACGCGGACAAAGCCCGCCAGCACGAGTGCGCGAGGGAGAGGAGGAGCTTGCGGATGAGGAAGAGGACGACGACGGAAAGAAGGGAAAAGGAGGAGCAGAAAATGGCAGAGGAGGAAGACGCGGAGGAGGTCGAGAAAGAAGCGGAGAAGGAGGAGGAAGAGGAGGAGGAGAAGGAGGAGGCGGAGCAGCACCCGCTCCTCCACGTTGGCAGCCAGGTGCAGTGCGATAGCGAGAAGTACTCTACAAGTGTGTGAGTGTGTGTGTGTGTGTGTGTGTGTGTGTGTGTGTGTGTGTGTGTGTGTGTGTGTGTGTGTGTGTGAGTGTTGTGTGTGTGTGCGCCCATCCACCTGGTGAAGGCTGGGTGTGCGGGGGGGAGGGCCTCGGTCATCGTGGCGACACAGCCCCCAGCCATGGGCTGGAGCTGGAGGAGGGCAGGGGGAGGATTGGGATCAAGCGCTCCGGTCCACCCGCCCTCCCACCACATGAGTACCACCCCAGACTCGGCAGCGCCAGAGGTTGCTAACCGATGGACAGCCATCGAGGACGAATCCAGACGTCAGATGCGCCAGACGGCCCATGCGCGCCAGAGAATTACCCCAGATGCTTAAGCGTTCCAGACGTGCTCCCAGAGTGCCTGGTTCCCCACGCGCTAGAGCAGAGCGCTCAAGGAGCGCCAGTGCAGGTGACAGCGCACGCCGAGCAACATGTTGACACCCCCTATCTGCATCACCAGTCTGTGCAGAGTAACTCCGGGATGGCCAGCATAGCGCGTGGTGTGTTCACCCGCCATCACTTTGCCTCAGGGGCTTTGGTAGGGTTGGTGAACCAGCGCAGGGGGGGCAGTTTGATCCCACCCCCGCCATCGCTTGCGGCGCCGACGATCGCGCGGCGCTGTCGAGGCCTAAAGTTGGTCGCTCTTAGGCGAGGGCAGAAGGCTTTTGGCATCGCTCGAACGTGTGTGTGTGTGGTTTTGCCTCGGCGAGGACCACCGAGGAGCATGCTGGATCGCTCCCCGAAGAAAAACAGAAACGCACGAGACCGCGAAAGACGCGAGAGGCATGGACGTCCGAGCGATGGCGAGAGGGAGGGCGGGGCCGGGCATAAGAACTCCGGCACAGCGGCGCGAGGGCCGCAGCAGGGCGGCCGCAGAAGGGGGGGGGGGAGGAGGAGGGCAAGCGGCGCACGCAGGCCGGGCAAGGCCGCCGCCGGCCCTGCCGGGAGCGGTGCAGAGTGGCGAAGTGGGGGTGCCCGTCGGCCTGGGTCGGCGGCCTCTCTCGATCGGGGGAGGGGGTGCTTGCGAACGGGGAGCAGCGATGGGGATGGAAGGCGGGGAGGAGGGGGAGAAGGAGGAGGAGAAGGAGGAGGAGAAGGAGGAGGAGGAGGAGGGGGAGGAGCAGGAGGAGGAGGAGGAGGAGGAGGAGAAGGAGGAGGAGGGGGAGAAGGAGGAGGAGGAGGGCCAGTGTAAACCCGAGACTCATCAACGATGTTGAAATACACCACCATCCATCCAAGATCCCTCTTCATAGGCCCCTATAAGGGGTCATTTCCACTGAGGGAACTGCCCCGTTGGGGGACAACCATGTGAACAGCTTGAAGCGTGCCAAACACCATTTTCAGGACTCCAACGCCACGAGTTAACCTGACTGTTACGTTTTGGCGATCATGTATCGTGCCAGGATTTCAGCACCAACGAACCAACGTACCCGTTGCGCCCTGACAATCCTGAATCGCTTCCAAAAACCATTTCTGGTACGTTCACCATGAGAACCAGTGGGGCCCGTGCAACTGTTCAAAGAGAATGCGTGCGGCGCTAAGGCGAGATCCACAGTTTGAAAACGAACCAGCGAGAGCCACATGTTGAAAGCCACCCGCCCTCAATTCGTGCAATTTCTGCAACTTGTTAAAGCGAATGTGCGTGGCGCTTAGGCGAGAGCCACATTTTGAAGACCACACGACCTCAATCCGTTAAGCTCTTGCTCAGCTTCAAAACGAAGGTGCGCGGCGCTAAGGCGAGAGCCACATGTTGAAAACGAGCCGCCCTCAACCCGTGAAATCCTTGCAAATGTTTAGAACGAATGTGCGCGGCGCTAAGGCGAGAGCCACATGTTGAAAACCACCCGCCCTCACTCCGTTAAACTCACGAAGATGCGCGGCGCCAAAGCGAGAGCCATGTGTTGAAAACGAGCGGCCTTCAATCAGCGAGGCTCTTGCAAACGTTGAGACCGAATTTGCTCGGCGCGAACGCGAGAGCACATTTTGAAGACCACCCGCCCTCAATCCGTTAAACTCGTGCCTGGCTTTAAAATGAAGGTGCACGGCGCTGAGGCGAGAGCCACATGTTGAAAACGAGCCGCCCTCAATCCGCGAAATTCTTGCACATGTTTAGAACGAACGTGCTCGGCGCTACGGCGAGATCCACATGTTGAAAACCACACGGCCTCCTTGTGCGAAACGGTTGCCAATGTTTAAGCATCAGGGGCATAAATGGTGAGGCAGTCTCAGACGAAACGCCCCGCCCGCCCTTTCAACCGGCCTCAGGGTGCGACAGGGATAAGTTATCTAGAAGGAAAAAGAATGAAGGAGGAGGAGGAGGAGAAGGAAGAGGAGGAGGAGGGGGAGACGAAGGAGGATGAGGAGGAGGAGGAGGAGGAGGGAGCAGGAGGACGGGGGACCTCCTTTCTTATCCTCCTCCTTCTCCTTCTTCGCCCCTCCGCCCGCCAGCATCGTCGATGGCCCTTATCGGCGGAGCGTGGCATCATTTGGAGAGCTCGGGGAGCCTCTGTGTGACAGAGGCCTCAGGGATGCCCCTCGGAGTCTCGTCCGATGTCCCTTGGAGGCATCTTGGAGACATGCTGGAGCGTTTTTGGGGCCTCTTGGCGGCTCTTGGGGCTTCTTGGGGCGTCTTGATTGCCTTTTGGGGGCCTCGTGGGGCATCCTGGGATCCTCTTGGGGCCTTTTGAGGGCCTTTGAGGGGCCTCTTGGGACCCTCTCTGGGCTCTCTTGGGGACTTTGCGGGCCGTCGTTAGGCTCTGGAAGCAATCGATCAATCGATCCAAGAAGATTAGCCATGCTCCCGCAGGCGGCGAGAATGAACCCAAAACCGAAGAAAAATGAATGATGCTTGCCTTCTCGCGGAGCCCTTCTTGGGTCCTCTGGCACCTCGCCGCCTCCCCCGCCCAGGACCGCAGGGGGGGTCGGGGGAGGGATCAAGACACCCCTCCCAGACGCAAATCGCAGGCTCACTCCCACCTTTCATCCTCCTCATCATCATTACCCTCGTCCCCGCTCCTCTCCTCCTCTGACCAGGCGGTCCACGAATGTTGCGTGATGGTTCTTCAGAGTGTCCAGTCCCGAAGCCTATAAAAGTCGGTTCTCGAAGGCGGCGCGGCTCACGAGCATCGCGTGCCGGCAGGGCGGTCCACGAATGTCGCGTCGGAGAGCGGTTGGTGTTCGACATGCGGGTTTCGCCGTAGCGCCATTCAAATTTGCCTGGACATGTCCCAGCAACTACATCATGGGGCACAGGTCGTTGCTCCAAATGCTGGCCTCGCCCTGGCACTGTGCGCACTCGTGTATGTCAAGCGCCTCATGGTGTCCGGATGGTGGGCTTGTTTTAAGAGATGGGTGTCGTTTTGTGTTTGCGCACGTTCGTCTTAAATGTTTCCATTGGTTGCACGGGTTGAAGGCGGTGCATGTTCAAAACAATAGGGTTTGCCCTGGCACCCGCGCACTCGCTCTAAACGTTTTCAAGAGCGCACGGATTGAACATAGGTTGTTTTAATTCGGCCCTCGCTATGGTGCCACGCAAATTCGTCCCAACCGCATCGGGTTGGGTCGTTTCCGAACGCCTGATCTCGCGTGAGACCTCCTCGTGCTCGATAGCTCTACAGCTCGAATTCCCGACAGGCACATACGTGGATGGCGGCCTTTTTCCGAGGGCTGGCTCTCAAAGGCTCTCAAGCGGGCGACCCCTCGATGGAGGGCGGCTTGAACTCCCAAGACCGCTGCGTTTCGCGACACTGCGCGGCTGGATCTCAGTATGTGGCCCCCGATGTGCACATCAGGCCACATAGGGCGCCCAGCATACGAGCGTATGGGGCCCCACCGCTCAAGCGAGCGCTCGCCAGGGTGAAAGGATGCAGTTGCGATCAATCATGAGGAGGTGACCTGGGACGGGAGAGGTCGTTGCAGCACAAGTAACGCGGAACGTACCTATCTTCCACCTCATTCGCCCTCTTCCTCAACCATTTCCTCCTCTTCCTCATCCCCCGTGGGGGATGAGGAGGAATGACGAATGATGAGGTACTTGAGGGGGATGAGGATCCTCATCCTCCTCATCTACTCATCCTTCATCATTCCTCCTCCGCTCCTCTACCTCAACGACTTCATGGTCCTCCTCTTCCTCCTCATCCCCGTAAACTGCCTCGCCCTCCTCCGCTTCCACCCCCTCTCCGCCCCCGGGCCTCGACCCGCTCCCCCCTCTGCCTCTCCCTCCCCCCCTTCTGGCAACACGCGTTCGCGACCGTCTGCCGCGTTGGCCCTCGAGCCCGAAAGTGGCCCGCAAAAGGGCAATCTGGCCATCACTACCGCCCCTCCGACGCTCTCGCCGAGCTCGGGGCGATGGAACGGGCCTCGACCCTCTAGGGGGCGAAGAAGACGACAAGACAGGTGAGGGGAAGGTCTGCTTCCCCCCCCCCCTTTCCTCTCGGCGCCCCCGCCGCCTCGAACCCCCCCCCCAGGAGACCCGCGAGCTCGTCGACATCCGCGCCTGGTCCGCGCGGGGCTGGTGCAGGGCGGAGCTGCTCTGCAACGTCCTGTCGGACTGCGGTTGAGTCGGGCCTGTCCCCCTGCAGGAGGGATGTTCTAAAATAATCACCCCCCAAAAAAAGGTCTGGGGACGCTTTGTTTGCGCAGTTTTTTTGTGTGGGCTTGTGTTGAATATGTATTGACTTGGGAGATTTATTTTCTTCGTCCAAAAATCCGCCTGTAGGGGGACACGCCCGACCTAAGACTGCGGCCGGGCGCACCCTCTCGCGCCCTTGCGCGGCGCAGGCCGAAGGGGAGGGGAAGGGGAGGGGGAGGTGAGGGGGGAGGGCAAACTAGGTGCGCTCGCGTCATATCTGACGTCCTACTTCTCCCCATCCCCTACCATGGCGTAGGTTCCCTCTCTATTCGCACAGTTGGATGCGAGAGGGTACGCGATGCATGGTAGAGCACGGCATGGCATAGCGTAGAAAAGCACGGCAGAGCGTAGCATGCCATAGCATTGCGTGGCATTGCGCAGTGAAGTATTGCACCACAAAGCATTGCAGCGTGGCATCGCACAGCAGCGCAGAACGCAACACCGCAGCCTGTCATGGCATAGCGCCGGGTTCCTTGGAGGGTAAGTGGATCGTCTTCGTGAGGTCTGGGTTTGTCTGGCCCCCGAAAAGCTCCACACAAGGCGGGGCTGATGGAGAGCACCCGCTGGCTCTGCTTTCAAAACCGCCTTCTCCAAGCAGACACGGGGCTCCCGCATGATATTTCCTGCAAACGACGACGCCCCAATGTGGGGCTTCTGCGGCCCAAAAAATCAACAAGCCGACACCGACTGTGTACTCGCTTCCGATGGTTTCTTTTAATGCTTCAAATTGTGGGGCCTATTTCGAAGGACCGAAAACGCCCGCGCTGCAGCGGGAGCACGATTTGGAACAACCAGAGGCGCAGAAATGGGACCAGGGCTTCAGCGGAAGCAACATTTTGAACAAAAGGAAAAAAGGGGAAAAGAAGCTAAAACCCAACTCCCGGGAATCTTGTGTGTAAAACACAGTATGCGAATGGGGGGCCAGACATCTTCCGGACGACATCGGGGGAGAACGGAGAGTAGTATTCATATTGTGTAATTGTAGAGGGGAGGGGGAGGGGAAGGGGGACGGGAGAAGAAGGGGGATGCGAGAAAACCTTTGTTCATCTGAACTGCACGCAGCTCGCTTCTACCTCTTCGGCTCGATTGGTTGCTGGTGGCGAAAAAATGTTGGCCGGGTCGTCTGGAACATTGAGATTGCAACAATCAGGCGAACTGTGCTGCCACTGGGGCATTGGATGCAGAAGGGAGAATGTTGCACTAGATCCTTCCTCCCCAACCTCCTCCCTCCTCCTCGCCCAAGCTCATCAGTATCCTCCTCCTTCTCCTCTTTCCCCTTCTCCTCCTCTGCCTCCTCCTCCTCCTCCACCTCACCCCCCTCAGCATCATCAGCCCCCGTTAGCCTCCTCCTCCTCCTCCTCCTCGTCCTCCTCCTCCTCCTCCTCATCCCCTCATATTTTCCCTCATCCTGATCATCCCCCTCGCATCATCCTCTTCCTCCTTCTCTGCCCTCCTTCTCCTCCTCCCTTTCCACTGCATTCCCCCATTCCCCCTCCCTCTTTCCCTTTTTTCTCCCCTTATCCTCCTCCTCATCCTCCTCCTCCTCTACAAATCAACAATATGAATACGACTCTCCTCTCTCGCCTGGTAGCGTCTGAGGATTGTTCGGCCCCCCTCCGCGTATTGTTTTTCTGCAAAAGGATTCCCAGGAGTTGGGTTGTCGCTTGGGTTTTGTTCAAAATGCTGCTCTCGCTGAAGCGTTGACCTCATTTTCGGGCTACCGCGCATTCCGAATCATGTTCCCGCTGAAGCGCTGGCGTCATCAGTTTCACCGCCATGCCACGGCATGGTTTTCGGTCCTTCCAAATTGCCCCAAAATTTAGAAAATGGCTCCCGAAAAAAAACATCGGATGTGATTACACATTCGGTTTCGATTCGTTGATTTTTGGGGGGGGCGCAGAAGCCCCAAACTTTGGGGCGTCGCCACGCCATGCTATGTCAGACTACGCGTCCTCATGTCCGCGCTCCCACCGTCTTTTTAAACCAAAAATGCTGCTCTCGCTGAAGCGTTGGCCGCAGTTTCGGGCTACCGCTCGTTCCGAATCGTGCTCCCGCTGCAGCGCTGGTGTCATTATTTCCAGTACCGTGCCACGGCATGGTTTTCGGTCCTTCCAAATAGGCACCAACAACTACAAGATGGTTTCCCGAAGAAGCCACCGGAAGTGATTATACAATCGGTGCCGATGCGTTGATTTGGGGGGCCGCAAAAGCCCCCCACGCAATCTGGGGCGTCGCCACGCCATGCTATGTCATGCTATGCGTTAGTCAGCAATACCATGCTAGGCCATGTAATGCTATGTCATGCTGCGACATCCGATTGTGCGAATAGAGAGGAGATCTACGCTATGGTAAGGAATGGGAGGGAGAGGTAGGACGTCAGATATGACGCAAGCGCACCTAGCTTGTCCTCCCCCTCCTCCTCCTCTTTCTCCTCCTCCTCCTCCTCCTCCTCCTCCTCCTCCTCCTCCTCCTCCTCCTGTCTCGCCCATCTCCCTCATACTCCCCCGCCTCTCCCATGGCGCGGGAAAGCGCATTGCAGCATCAACGATGCATCCTGAAAGTAGTATGGTCCCCCTCCTCGTCATCATCCACCATTTCTCCTTACACCTAGTACCCTCACCCGTGCCCATCGTATCCCTCCGCCCCCTTCCTCCTCCTTTCCCCACCCTCACACTCCTAGCCTGCCTCTCCCTCCCCTCCTCCTCCTCCTCCTCCTCATCATCATCCTCTTCCTCGCCCTCCCGCCCCTCCTCCTCCTCCTCCTTCTCCTCCATTCTGTGGGTTATGAGTAATTTCTCCTTATCGCATCCCCAGGCAAGCTTGTAGGGCAGGCCAGGCGTTTCGCTTGAGACTTCCTCGCCACTTATGACCCTGAAGCTTACACATTGGCAGCAACAGTTTCACAAATGGAGGGCGGGTCGTTTCAAAAATTCTGCCCTCGCCTGAGCACCGCGCACAGTCGGTCTAAACATTTGCGAGAGCTTCACGGATTGAGGGCGGGTGTTTTTTTCAAAATGCGGTTTTTGCGTCAGCGCCGCGCACACTCTTTTTCGAAAATTGCATGAGCTTCACGGATTGAGGGCGGCTCTGTTTCAAATTGTGGTTCTCGCCTTAGGGCCGCACACATTCGCTTGAAACACTTGTAAGAGTTTCACGGGTTGGGGGCTGCTCCTTTTGAAAATACGGTTCTCGCTTTAGCGCCGCAGTCTTTCTTTTCAAATTTGGCAAGGGCGTCACGGATTGAGGGCGGTTCTTGTTCAAAGCGTGGTTCTCGTTTCAGTGCCGCGCACATTCGTTGTTGGCAGTTACAAGAGTTGCATGGGTCCCCGTGGTCCGCGTACCAGAAGGTGTGGTTCGGAAAGGCTCAGGATTATGAGGGCGCAACAGTTACGTTGATTCGCGGTGCTGAAGTCACAGAAATGGCGTTCTGGCACGATTCGGGATCGTCGAGGCGCAACAGTCAAGTTGACCCGTGGCGCTGAAACCCTGAGAAACAATGCTTCGGCATGCGTCAGGGTATTCAAACGGTTGTCTTCTGACGCGGCAGTTCCTTCAGTGGAAATGGGCCGTTGTAGGGGCCTATGAAGAGGGAGCGTGTCGGGAGGGTGTATTCCAACATCGTTGGCGACTCTTGGGTTTACATTGGTCCTCCTCCTCTACGTCATCATCCTCAGCAGCCGTATCACCATCACCGTCACCATCATCAACATCCGCACCATCATCATCATCATCATCATCATCATCATCATCATCATCATCATCATTATCATCATCATCATCAGCATCATCATCATCCTCATCAGCAGCAGCATCGATATCACAATCATCATCAGAATCGGAAGCATCATCATCATTATCAGCAGCAGCAGCAGCATGAGCAACAGCATCATCATAATCGTTATCGTCAGTATCATCATGATGAGCATCATCATCAGCAGCATCATCGTCATTATAAGCATCATCATCATGATAAGCATCGGCATGATCGTGATCACAATCACAGCCGTCATCGTCATCATAACCATCGCCATCATAGTAATCAACAACAGCATCATCCTCAGTATCATCATCATAATCCCCATCATCAGTATCATCATAATCGTCACCATCAGCAGCATCAGAATCGTCATCCGCATCTGCATCATCAGCAACAGCAACATCGTCATCATATTCAGCATCACCACCGCCCTCAGCATCATCGACACCATCAACATCATCAGCTTCATCTTTAGCAGCATTACCATCATTAGCATGATCATGGTCATCAGCATCATCATCATCATCATCGTCGTCATCATCATCACCGCCACCACCATCAGCAACAGCAACATCATAACCGTCAACCGCATCCGCAGCATCATGATCAGCAGCAGCACCACCAGAATAATAATTCATGGTCATCGTCGCCGTCATCGTCATCATAACGATCACCATCAGCATCAACAACAACATCATCATTACTATCATCATCCGCATCAGCATCATCAGTAGCATCATCATCATACTCAGCACAACCATCACTATCACTATCACAAGCAGCAGCATCATCAACATCAGCATCGTCATCATCATCGTCATCAGTGGCCTCATCTTGCTCATGGTCTCCAGCACCCTCATAACCACCACCACGATCGTCAGCACCAGCATCATCAGCATCATCAGCATCATCAGAATCATCATCATAATCATCAGAATCATCGTAGTCGTCAACCTCCTCAGCATCATCATCATCATCAGCAGCAGCATCATCAGAATCATCGGAAAAGGCATCAGATCGCAAATTCACGGGCAGATAACGCAGCAGATGTCGAACTTGAGGGACGACGCAGTGGTGTCAGCTTAATTGTGTTCCCTGATTGCTTTCGCATGCCGTCGCCCTTGATATGCTCCACTCTGGTTTCCAATGTGTTCGGATGCATCCTGTCTCATGCGCCCGTGCGTGCAGCCTGCTGGCCGTCCCCGAGCCTCAGCCAGGCGCTCCTAGGTTGCGCGTGCTCTGGCCAGTCAGCCACCCCCTCTTCCTCCGCCTCCTGGAAACCCTTCTCAGCTCCTGAGGGACAGGTCCAGGTTTGTTCACCAGCTCCGATGGGGCCTGCGAGTTAGTTGTGCTCGCCGCAGTCTTCCACGCCGCAATATGCCTGGTGCTGCTCTTCATGCTGGAGGTCCCGCGCTCCTTCAGGGGATCTCTTCTCTTCCTCCTCCTCCTCCTCATCATCATCATCATCCTCCTCCTCCTCCTCCCCCTCCTCCTCCTTCCTCCTCCTCCCCCTCCTACTACTCCTATCCTCTCCTCCTCCCTCTTCCTCTCCTCCTCCTCCTCTCCTCCTCCTCCTCCTCCTCCTCCTCCTCCTCCTCCTCCTCCTCCGCCTCCTACTCCTCCCCCTCCTCCTGCTCCTCCCTCCTCTCCCCCCTCCTCCTCCTGCTCCCTCTCCTCCTTCTGATCCTTCCTCTCCTCCTCCTCTCCTCCTCCTCCTCCTCTCCTCCTCCTCCTCCTCCTCCTCCTCCCTCCTCTCCTCCTCCTCCTCCTCCTCCTCTCCTCCTCCTCCTCCTCCTCCTCCTCCTCCTCCTCCTCCTCCTCCTCCTCCTCCTTCTCCTCCTCCTCCTCCTCCTCCTCCTCCTCTTTCTCATCCTTCTCCTCCTTCGCCCCCCGCCCCACACCTACCCCCCCCCCTTCTGCATAAAGACACTTCCTGAGGACGACCCCGCGCCCATGCTGACGGTCGAGTCGCTTGTCTCCCGGCGGATATCCACCGCGCGGGACCCTGTCCTCTTTGGGAGAGGGAGGACGGGAAGGAGGAGGAGGAGGAGGAGGGCGAGGAGGAGGAGGACGAGGAGAAAGAGGAAGGAGCGAGGACGGAGGATTTTGACCGGTTTAGTCCTTCTTGGGCCTCCCGAGGCGCCATGATCGCCGCGGCCAGGTCGCCTTCGAAACTCCAGCCGGCACGCAGCCAATGAGAGGTCGGGGGGCGATTTCGAGAAGGGAGGGCCTGAACATCCAGGCGTTGGGAAAAACACTACGGGCGTCTTGCGATTTCGGCCTCGGGGGGGAGGGGGGCGCTGTCGGGCCACAAGATACAAAAACAGTGACGCATTACTCCGACGGAAGGACCCCACATGATGATTTTTTGTGTGCATGGGAATCGTTATCGTCGACGACTACCGATAGCAATGATGCCAGAATGCCAGGATACCAGGATGCGACCTGTGAGGCCGTTGGGATGTGTCAGGCCCCTTGGGCCCGTGATGCCTTTGAGACTTGCGGGGCCTGGGGGACCTGTGCGACATGTGCGACCTGTGCGACCTGCGGGGTCTGTGCGATTTGTAGCACCCGTGGGACATGTGAGATTTGTGGGACCTGGGGGACTTGAATGCCCTGTGGGACCGGCGGGGCCCCTGGAACTGTGGGACCCTTGCGGCCTGTCTGACCTGTGGGATTTCCGAGCCCTGCAGGACGAGTGGAACCTGTGGGACCTGCGGGATCTGTGGGACCTGCGGGACCGGTGGGACCTGTGAGATTTGGGAGACTTGTGAGACTTATGAGACTTGTGGGCCCTGTGGGACCTGTGGGGTCCGTGGGACCTTTGCGGCCTGTGGGGTTTGTTGGACCTGTCGGGCCAGTACGACCTGTAGGACCTGCGAGCCCTGTAGGACGTGTGGGACATGTGGGACCTGCGCAATCTGTCGCACCTGTGGGACCGGTGGGACCTGTGAGACAAGGGAGACCTGCGAGACCTGTGCGACCAGAGCGATTTGCGGGGCATTCAGGCCCGGAGGGCCCTGCGGGACCTGTGCGACTTGTGCGACTTTTGGGAGCCGTGGGGCTTTTGCGTCTTGTTCGGCCTGCGGATCTTGTGGGACCTGTGCAGCCTTGCGCCCCCGGCCCCCGTCCGAGAATGCCCTGCGATGCACTCACAGACGAGGCTCCTGCTCGAGACCTCCTCCAAAGGCAGGCCTGAAGAGCCCAAGAGTGACGACATCGACAGGTTCTCCGGTGACCCGCTCGGATTCGAGCACGGAGGCGGGGACCCCATAGGGAGTGGGGGTTCCCGCTCGAGACGTCCTGGTGATCCACTTGCAGATGAGGCTCCCGCTCGAGACTCCCTCCACACTCAGGCCTGCGAAGCCCACAAGTGACGACGGTTACCACAGTATTTGGGTGACTCGTCCGGATTCGAACATGGAGGTGGGGACCCTGTGGGGAGGGGCTCCCGCTCGAGACTTCCTCCAGATTAAGCCCGGGGAGCCCAAAAGTGACGACAGGTAGATGACCAGCTCGGACTCAAGCATAGAGGTTTGGATCCCATAGGGAGGGCCCTCGCTCGAGACTTCCTCCAGATGAGTATGCGAGTGCGAGTGCGTATGATGATGATGATGATGATGATGATGATGATGATGATGATGATGATGATGATGATGATGATGATGATGGTGATGATGGTGATGATGGTGATGATGGTGATGATGATAATGGTGATAATGATGATGGTTATGGTTATGGTGATGGTGATGGTGATGGTGATGGTGGTGGTGATGGTGATGGTGGTGATGATGATAATTGTGATGATTCCGATTATGATTGCAATGATTGATAGTATGATTGTGATAACGGTGGTGATGATGTTGATGGTGGTTATGATGATGGTGGTGATGATGATGATGGTGATGATGATGGTGGTGATGATGATAACTATGATGATTCCGATTATGATTGCGATGATTGATAGTTATAGTATGAGAATGATGGTGATGATGATGATGCTGCTGATGATGATTGTGATGGTAATGGTGATGGTGATGGTGATGGTGATGGTGGTGATGGCGCTGGTGATTGTGATGGTGATGGTGATGGTGATGATGAAGATGATGGACGTGGTGGTGGTGGAGATGATGGTGATGGTGATGGTGACGAGAATTACAATGGTGACGATGGTAATAAGAATGATGATGATGATGGTGATGATGATGATGAAGGTGTTGATGATGGTGAGGGTGTTGGCGATGATGGTGATGGTGATGGTGATCATGATGATGATAATGATGATGATGATGATAAGTATGATGGTGATGATCATGGTAACGGTGATGGTATTGATGAGGATGATCGTGATGATGGTGGTGGTGATGATGATTACGATGATGATGGTGATGATGATGATGCTGACGTTGATGATGATGACGACGATGATGATGATGATGGTGATGATGATGATGATGAGAGGAGAAGGGGTGAGACATTATTGCGAAGTGTGCAGAGAAAACAAGAACTCCACTTAGGATGTGGGAAAGACCCGACCCAGGCAGGGGTGTGGTCGAGTGTTCTTGGGGCCCACGCTGCTCACACTCAACAACCACATCGTCGTCAGAAGTCTGGGGATGGGGAGTTTCTTATCCATCCTCCTGACGTTGTTTCTTCATGGGGGTATACAGGCTGCCGTGTTGAGACTGCAGCTGCAACAGTGATGTAGACGCTTCGATGACGAAGGAGGCACTGCGCACACAAAGCACCACGCACTAGCACTACGCTAAGCGCCCCAGCGATGAATTGGACACTACGCGAAAGACTTGGCAAGAATGACGGTTCCAGGAGCGCTCCCGGGCTGCTCTCCAGGAGCCGCGTTGGTGGCTTCCAAGCGTACGCCACGCTCCCGGACGGCACGCGTTAGCCTACTGTCTTTGCGTAGTGCCTTTGCGTGAACCCTGGATGTTGCTTCGCAGGCGCGCCCCAGGAGCACATCAGAAGCAGCCCAGGAGTACCGCAGGAGCCGTGAACAGCCCAGGAACACCCCAGGAGCGAGTGCCCAGGGGGGGCGCGCGCGCGTGCGCACGCAGCCTTGACCTCCTGGCTCGACCTTCGGAAGATCGCCTGCATCAATATTTCTGATCGTTGGCTCCTCCGCGGCATTCCTCAGGCGCGCGTCGGGCTCCTGCGCTGCATTCCTTGGCGCAGTGTCTCTGCTTGGGATCCCTGCGCGTTCTTGGGACCCTCGCGCGCATGTAGATTCGGACTTCTGGCGGATCGGTTTGGACGTTCTCGAAGATGTTCATCGCGTCTTGGGGAGCCGATCTGTCAACGGTTCCAGCGCGCGTCGAGCCCCTGCGCAGCTTTCATGTGCGTGGGGTCCATGCGTGCTCCTGGAGTGCTCCTGGGGCGAGACTGACGACATGTTATCCGCGCGTAGCTTTGGATTTCGGGTCGATCGCCCTGAACCACTAAGAGAATCGATGCATCCGAGAGGCCGGTCTGTCGGAGGAAGGGTGGGGGGGAGAGCAGAGCGACGATAAAGATGATGAGCAGGGGGGGGGAACAAGGAAAGGAGGAGGAGGAGGAGGAGGAGGAGAAGGAGGAGGAGGAGGAGGAGGAGGAGAGGACGGCGGGGAAGAAGGAAAATGACGAGGAGGGCGACGGAAGGAAGGGGAGGGAGAAAAGAGGCAAGAGGAAGGAAGGGGGAGACGGGAGGCAGGAAAGGCTTGGAAAAGGGGGGAGGAGGCAGAGGAGGAGCATCCTCGCCCCTCATCCCCCATCCCTCGTTTCCTGGCTCCCTCCCTCCCTCCTGCTTCTCGTTCACATCTCCCTTTGCTCCGCGCGTCCTCTTTGTCATCCTCCTGACCCTCCTCCTTCTCCTCCTCCTCGTCCTCCTCCTGCTCATCATCGTAAGCACCAAAGGCAGCATCGCCAGCACCATCCTTACCCTCCCTCCCCCTCATGCACATAGTCATTATCATCGTCGCCGTCATCATCATCATCATCATCCTCATCGTCGTCATCATCATTATCATCATCAGCAGCATCACCATCATCCGTTACATCCTCTTCCTTTTTCCATATTCCTCATCACTTGTCACATCCTCGCCTCGCCTCCTCGTCCCCTATCTCCTGATGACCAGCAGATTCGCCTGCAGGACTTCATCATGCACCCTGTGGGCAGTGGGCACTTCACCTACGAAGCCGATAGGCAGAGCTACCGAACCTTCATGAACCTTCATCGAAGAGAAGAGTTGAGGAGGTGGAGAAGGAGGATGAGGAGGAAGGGGAGGATGTTTGAGAAGTAAGAGGAAGGAGGAGAAGGATGAGGAGGAGAAGAAGTGGCATAGCTTTATCGCAGGGATGATTTGGAGAAGGAAGAGAAGCGAAGAGCAGGAGGAGGAGGATTCGGAGGGGGTGAGGCAGAAGAGGAGGAGGAGGAGAAATAGGAGGAGGAGGAGGAGGAGGAGTGCGAGAAGGACAAGAAAGAGAATGATGAGAAGCAGGAGGAGGAGACATTGGAAGGAGGACGATGAAGTGTATGGTGCAGAGGGGAAGTGGTTGCGGAGGACGAAGGGCAGCAGCAGGGGGCAGGACGTAGGAGACGAGGAGGACGAGCAAGAGGATGCGCAGGAGGAAGAAGCAGGAAGCTGGAAGTCGACGAGGACTGACACCAGAGTAAACAAGCAGACATCGTTAATGTTACACCACAACCTCATGTCAAAAGCTACTCGCCCACACACTAGTACAGGCGTATCTATCCCCATCGGCGAGGACCCACTGGCAAGGCGAGGGCCCCATCACCCGAATGTTGATGGCCCCGTGCTGAGATGTGCATCAGTTGCCGAATCGAGCTACGGCACCATAGCGCTTTTAAACACCTGTGAGCTGGAGGGGGAGCAGCAATACACCCATGTAAATGGTTTAATCGTTAGAGTTGTGCCGCGGCCGAGAGAGGACACGATGGTGAAACGAAACCCTGTCACTATCTGCTGCTGCTGAAAATTACAGTCCCAAGTGTCATGAGACCTGAGGAGGTAAGGCGACAGCTCGACCGTGAAAAGGAAACGCCCTCCGCCAACGTTGCTGTCACGCGAGAGCCAGATTTGGGAAAGTTGGCCGCCTAGGTGTGGCTGCATGATCTGCATTATCACAATAGCTGAGAAAGTCTCAGGCTAGATTTACAGTTCAGGCGCAGTAGCGAAGCTAGAACAGCAATGCGGCCGCGCAAGCAGGCTAGCTGGTTCGAAAAGGCTCCACTGAATCTGTGTCAGGTAGGGGCCGGCGGATAACGGGCTCCCGATAGGTGACATGCGCTTGGGTTCCAACAGTCGTTCCACTCAGCCTCGACAGCAAAACCTTGCCCGCCATCTTGACATGATCTGGGTCATTGCCGCTTGAGGTGAAAATTGGCAGGACATCAGTCCACATTGGGAGCAGATGTTCTGCACCATGACGGTTCAATGGTACAAGCTCGACTCATGGTCAAGCCACGATGCGTTCAGATATTCCGTCGGCTTCAGACTTGCAAGGCGCACCCGTTACAATGTTCAACCGCTTTGAGCTCGTAGTAGCATGGGCAGGACGGTTCGACAAGTTGTTGAAAAGGTGAGCCATGCAGAAATGCACCCTGGTCGGTTAGGGACTGGCTCTCGAGCGGCAGGCAAGCTACACGGTTCTCTGGTGCACGCTTAGATGTTAAGTTGCAGGACGTTACTATTTGGAATTTCAAGAGCCTTGAGTTCGTTCGGTCATGAGCATAACCGTCCGAATGATTCCATTTTCAGCCATGCAGGGTTACGTCTGGCGCATTTGGACGATGATGATCGCGAGCTCGAGTCAAGATACGGATCCCTCGCTCCCATTTGGGCTGCTCAAGTGCACGGGGTAGATCTGTGCATTTGCAGCCCTGATATCACTTTATCGCGAATGGCGCAATATGAAAATTGATTGGAAAGGAGACCCTGCAGGACGTTGTAGACGAGCTGTCGGCAAGCCATTTTCCTCGGTGGATCGTTCAATCTGATATCGCGACTTGTATATGTCTAGGGAATCGGAAGGCTTGGCATCCCCCGACTATGAATTGCTTCGTTCGAGTGAACTAACAGTTAATGTTGATTTGAAGTTTTGTGCATTGTATGCTCTGATATCGAGCAGTCGGGGCAGTAGGCATTGCCTAATCTGGCATATCGTTCGCGACCGAAACACACGGCGCACAGTGTTGATTGCATCAAGAGTCGACATAGCATTGTAATAGTGAAGTGTTTTTAATTGAGAAAGTGTCGGTTGGGAAGCTCTGCAAGCCCCCGGCGGTGATCGTGGTTTAGCGTTGGCGCCTTGTCTAAGATGAGCGCCCTCGAAGCCAGAGCGAGAGCCATGATTTGAGGACGGACCGCTTTCCCTCCGTGCAGCTGTTGGAACTGCCCACCTTTAGGATGAGAAGAGTCAGGAGGGAAAGAACGTACTGACACGATTAATCGCCCCCATGAAATATGGGACAAGATGGGAAGTGGGGGGGAATACGAAAACGCAGGAAAGATTGAAAGACATGGAAATCCTGAGACGCGTGTCTATTGATTTGTGTGTGTGTCCCAGGGCCCCTTCAAAGTGAGAGGAAATCGCTAGCCAAACGCCCAGACCGCCTTATCGGCACGCCTGGCGATGCGACGACGAGGAGACGGTCACACGGAACAGGAGCAGATGGGGAGGAGCAGGAGAAAAAGGAGGGGGATAGTGCACGAGGAGGAGGGGGGGAGGGGGGAGGGAGAGGAAGAGGAGGAGGAGGAGAGGAGGAGGAGGAGGAGGAGAAGGGGGAAGGGAAGGAGGAGGAGGAGGAGGAGGAGGAGGGGAAGGGGAAGAGGGGAAGGGATGAGAAAGGGTCGGAGACGTTGTGGTCGGTGGTTTGGGGGAGAACTCGCGGCGCTCGGCCAGATCCAGGGCCCCAAAAGGAGGCCCGCAAGCTCTCAAAAGTCCTTGTTCTCGCCGGCCCCGACCACTGCCGACGTCGAACGGCCGTCCCCGCGGGCCATTGCTCATCCTCCTCCCCTCCTCCTCCCCCTCCTCCCTCCTCCTCCTCTCCTCCTCCTCCTCCCCCCTCTCCCCCTCCTCCTCCTCCTCCTCTCCTCCTTCTCCACCTCCTCCCTCCTCCCCCTCCACCTCCCCCTCATCCTCCCTCCTCCGCTCCCGTCTCCCCAGAACTCCGGCGTCTATCCCGTGGCTGGTGTTGTGGATGTTGTGCATCTCGCCACCGCTCACGATTGCGGTTCATGGCGTCCGATGCACGCGGTGTTGGTTCCCATCTAGTGCGCGCAGCCCCCGAGGCGGGTCTCGGAGCACGTGGCGCCGTCATCGGTATCTGGCCGAACGTTGCTGCCTTTGGGCAACAGCACCCGTTACCCTTAGCGTCTCGAGCCGATAGCGCATTGGTGTCACAGGCGTGCTCGCGAAGGTCGTCCGCTTCAGGCCGACAGCATGGCGAGGGCGCAGCGGAGTGGCAACGAGCCGCCCAGACGACAAGGGCACAGGACGGCAAGCAATCGGCAGTGCAGGTCGGCCGAGCTCCTCGGCAGCGCTCCCAGCGGCCTGGGATGCCACGTGCGACGACGGAGCAGTACCTCGCCGACCAAATGCACCTCAGGAGGTGCGCCCGCGGCGGCATGCGTGAGGCCGACGCTGGCTGCCGCGATGCGGCGGCAGCAGCCCACGGCGCACCCCGCGGCCGCTCCCGCTGCTGGACCTCTTTGCGCCGCGGCGCGGCAGAGGCCGTCCGCACGCGCGTCCAGGCAGCCCGGGCCGAGTACGGTGAAGCGAACTGGCCCGCATGCAGGAGGAGGGGAGAAGCCGAGGGGCGGCCGCAGAGACGGGAGGCGGGAGGGGAGGGCGCACTCGCGCGGCGAGGCCGCGGGGGGGCGCGCGGGGCGGCCGGGCGCTGGCGGCGCCGATGCAGCTCGTCGGACGCCTGGGGACCGGCAGCCTGTGGCGGAGAACTGGCCGTCTCGATGTTTCGGGCCGCCCAGTGCTCGGGGGCCAGCGGTGGCGCGGCGAGGGGTGGAGCTGAGAGGGGGGGCAGGCCTTCTCAGAAGGCGGCGGGGCTCGTCA